ATAAAAATTTGAATATTTACATACATGTTGTGTTGTGAGTTAATTTTGTGAGTTTGCTTGCAAGCAAATTTTATGTGACAGACTGAGCCAGCCAATGGCAGATAGATAGATCTTTGAATGAATCTGTGATCCTGTGAGCAACTCAATCTGCCTGCCTGCTTTGCCTGATTTTGGGTAAAAATTGCTCTTTTTTATAAAAAACTCAATATATATATAAATATTTATAATATTTACATACAAACCAGGCCCAGCCAGTCACATGGCCACCAAGCCACACCCACAAATTAGGCCACACCCACAGAACGAGTTAGTGGTCCCTGGGATCTAAATTATGAGTTTGGTGGTTCCTGAGGTCCAAAAGATTGTTGACCCTTGCTCTAAGGCAATGTTGTTTTTTTCTAGAAAAGGCAGAAAGAAAACCCATGTTAGCTTATTTGGCTGGTACAGAAGTGCAAAAGTCTTCTGCAGTGATCTGTTAAGGAAAATTCTAACCTTCTACACCTTCTCTTAAGCTAACATCCTACAGATAGTCCTTGGCTTACAACCATTGAAGTTGGTTGTAAAGTTACAACAGCACTTTAAAAAATTATTTATGAGCGGTTAGGACTATAGCAGCACCCCCCACAGTCATGTGATCAACTTTTGGGCACTTGGCAAATGGCATGTTTTACAACTGTTGCAGTATCCCAAAGTCATGTGATCACCATTTGCAACCTTCCCAGCCAGCTTTTGACAAGCAAAATTAATGGGGGAAGCCGCATTTGCTTATAACTCACACGATTCACTTAACTATGGCAAAAAAGGTCATAAACTTGGGTGTGACTCACCTAGCCACCGCCCTCCTTAGCAACAGAAATTATGGTCCCAATTGTGGTCATAACTCAAGGACTAGCTGTGCCTGTTTTTTTATCAGTCAGCATTTGACTGACATGGGAAATGGCAATTACAATTACGCTCCTCCCTTTCCCAAGCAGATCTGTGCTTGGTCGTCTTCTCCATTTTAAATACAAGCTTTTTCTAAGCAAAATTTAAACATAATGTACTAAAATAAAATGCAAATATATAAATTCTTAAATAAATAAATTATGCAGTCACCAAGAAAATTAAATTAAAATTAAAAAGACAACCTGCTTCAATCATTAGAAAACAGGTAAACTAGAACATGCAATTATGATTCAATGCACATACCATGGATGTGTCACCTGGTACTGCTGCCAAAGTAAAACCCTACCCTGCTTATAGGCAGGCTTCTAATCACAAGATTTATTCCTTGTACATACCAGTCTATTTTTTTAATAGTTGGGCATACAAATAAAACCTCTAATCGTGTTTTCAGCACTGGGGCAAGTAAGTTGAGGTGAATGCAATCCTCTGACTAATACAATTATTTTAAGGTTTTAAAGGGAGTATTATTAATACAGGCATAGCATGTTCCAACTTGTGAAGTCTGCTCAATCATTTCAGTTTAGGATTAAATGATGTACCTGTTAAATGATGTACCTGTTGAAATGTGTCATTGCCCCTACAGATATCATCACACTAGGACTTTCAAAACAAGCCAACATTCAGGAAGACAGCTCAGGCCACAGTCATGGCAAGATTCATGATGACCTGTCTCTAACTCTCATATGTTACAGAGTCAGATTCATAACTTTACATGCTAGTAATGCTGAAGCAGTTGATACATGAAAAAGTAAATCTAAATATTTACACTAGCCTCAGGTTAAACGTAAATAAAATTTGCATGTAAAATGTACTGTGCGTTTAACAAGCTTGCAGAATGCTGATGAAACTACGTTGATATAACAGAGACTCTTCGTTAACTTAGTAATTTACATTCTGATCCATTCCCTAACATTAGAGCAGCTAAGCCAATCAGGAAGTGATTTTGCAGCCCATCAGTAGCATCTCAGCAGATTAGGAACTATACCCAATCCCCCCCCCCGCCCCCCTTCTATTCAATCATGTCCAATTGTTGGAAATTGCTGGGATACATCCCTGCAGTTTTCTTGACAAGGTTTTTCAGAAGTGGTTTGCCATTGCCTCATTTGCAAGGCTAAGAAAGAGTGATTGGCCCAAAGTCACCCACTTGCTTTGTGATAAAAACAGACTAGAACTCACAGTGTCCTGGATTGGAACTCCAGTCTCCCAGTTTCTAGACTGATGCCTTAAACACAACATCAAACTGGCTTTCAGATGATACTTGTTGATCATATATTAGTGGAATACAGGTGTAAGATTTTGAAGTACAGGAGGTAATTCTTGTTTAATGACCATTGCTCAGTGAGTATTTCACCTTGCAACAATGCTGAATGAGTGATAGTCATGATCAAGCACTGAAGTTCAGTCCAGCACAGAGCCTAGGTTTATACTAGGTCAGTGATGGCGAACCTTTTTGTTGTGGTGTGCTGAAAGCACATACCTTGTGCGTGCCAGCACCCACAATGCAATGCGCCCTGCACCCCTGCGCATGTGTGCATAATCTCTCCTTACCTGCATTGTGCATGCGTGCTCCTCCCAGCTGATTTTTGGCCCATTTGAGGCCATTTTCGCCCTCCCAGGGGCTTGAGGGAAGCCTCTGCAGCCTTTGGAAGCGAAAAACAGGCCCGTTTTGGCACTTCCAGTTTCAGCACTTCCGGTATTTCCGGAAGGCCCGTTTTTTGGCCTCCAAAGGCTGCAGAGGCTTCCCTCGAGCCCCCAGGAGGGCGAAAAAGGCCTCAAACGGGCCGAAAATCAGTTGGGAGGCATGTGCATGCACAGTGCAGTTAAGTTTGGCTGGAGCTCGCATGCCCGCACAAATGGCTCTGCATGCCACTTGTGGCACGCATGCCATAGGTTTGCCATCACGGGTCTAGGCCTTCTTCTAAATTCACCATTTTCTTTTTCAGAATGCAATTGCACAGATACATGCATTTACAACTCTAGAACTTTAAAAATCATCTCAGACTCAATCTAGGACATTTTTAAATACAGTTGTATCAAAATACTAATTTAAAGCAGAGTCAATAGCATAGCTAATACTGTCCTTCCAAGCTAATGTAAACAGTATCTAACAATACTTTTAAACTTGTGGAAATATTTTGGTAAATCCAGTATGGTTTTCACAAGACAAGAGTCCTTGGCTTCTAGCAAAACCATGCATTTCTCTGTCTTTATCGGAGCATTAGGTTACCTAGAAAGGACTTCTACAAACCCTACCCTGGCCTTGATTTTCCACAACGATACCCACTAACAAGCAAGAATCTTGCAATATCAAAACATTCACATTTACAAAAGCAAAAGCTTTTCTGGACAAGAGCCCAGATTGTTAGATGATTGAAGACTTTTTCTCAATGGGCAGATTGAATAACAACATTAACACCTTTCTCTTGTCTTAGGCCACTGGCCACATTTCCATTAACTTTTGACCGGAATGCCAAAACTAATCAAAGCTTGGCACTTCCTTCATTTTAATATGTAATAACAGAGGGGAACAGCTTTTAATGAATTCCCCGATACAGCAATGGAAGACTTTGTCCAGATTGCTTTCATAGTCGCTTAGATGTAATTCTGTGTACCTTCACTACGTATGATTACTTAATGCAAAATCTATGTCCTTTATGTAATGCACCAACCACTAGCAGATTTCATGGAATATGGTCTTCTACAAGCCAAGTACACCGAACAAAACAATATTATTTACTACAATTGGTTTTGGCACACATTCCCAACCTAAGAGTCTCCAGATATGTTAGTGTACATTCTTATCTTCCCAGGCAAGTCCAGCCCACCCAAAATTTAAAAGCTAAAAAATGGTCTGATATGTATACCATCAACCAACAACCATGTTCTGACATTTTGCACGAACTGTCTGTTCTCCTAGCAACCCAATTTAGGGAACAATAATGGGGAAATGATTTTAATATTTGTAGTATTTGTAAATGTAAGGAGATAGTCAAAACTATCATAAATCGAGAACAAGCAAGGGAGAAAGTAGGGAGAAAGTATTGTGATATTTCAGCACACAGCACCAATTTATCATGCAGCCAAAAAGCCAATTAAAGGAGGTCAATCAGGAGGGTAACTAGTTTGGCATACCTCTGATTTCCTAACCAATCTCCAGATATAATAACAATCGTTTAAACTTATGGCTGTCCAACTCCTGATGACTTTGATCAGCTACAAATCTCAGATTCACAATTTCCAACCAACATAATCTCCAGTTGGTCAATAAGATTATCCATGTGGAGCCTGATTCTTTGCTTGCAGACATTTCATTATCCAACAATGTAAGATCATCAATGCTCACATTATCCAGCATTTCTGGGGGATGCCAGGTTGATAGATACCCATTGCTCCCAAAAATGTTTACTCTCAAAAAAAACAAAAGGCTACCTATAATCTTGCCTTATTCTAAACACACATAAACATGCAGTGGCTTGGTAAATTGTGTTCCCTTCTATGGTTCTTCCATGAAATTAGCGAAAACCCATCAAAAACCTCTTATTTCACCTTTCTATGCATTGCATAACCCTTTTTTTTGAAAGACTACAGTTTTTAGGCTAGGGCTTCTTGATAGAATATTTCTTTCTCCAGGCATATTTTTAAAAAATAAATAATAACTGGAGGCAACGAAGGCTTACAATTGGGGGGAGAAGGTTCACACCTTACCATCAGGTCTACCTGGCCAAAAGGATATTTAAAAAAAAAACACAGGCATCGCTTTCAAAAAAAAAACCACAGGGAAGAGGGAGACGAAAAGCAAATCCAGGATTTGGAAGGGAATAAAGGACTCTATGAAACTGTCCGGATTTCCCAGGCCAACCGAGCCCCCGCTATACCGATAGACAAAGACCCCCCCAAAGCCTTCAACCTGCCAGGGGAGATTCGCCGCGCTCCACGCCACGCGCGTTTGCTCCCTCGCCCTCCCTCCACGCAGAAACCGCACCATCACGCACAACAGCTTCCTCGGCCAGAAACAAAATAAATAAAAATAAATAAAAATAAAACGAACGCCTTACCCAGAAGATGACGTTGAAGCCGAAGATGAAATACTTGATGCAGCAGCTCACTTCGGGGCCTTTATAATGCTTTCCGGACATCCTCGGGGCTCATGAAGACAGTTTGCTGGCGAGCACCGTTGGCCGGGAGAGGCGGGGGAGAAAGGCGAGAGGGCAGCGCGGTCGGGCAGAGAGCGCAGGAGCCGGCCAGCGGGGAGGCAGATTAGAGGCAGCCGGCCGATGGCTGGCTTGCTGGCTCGGCTCTTCGCCGCCCGGAGCGCTCAGGCAGCGAACGAAACCCGCGTCGTGGCCGCCGCCGCCGCCTCCTGCCTCCGCGCATCGAGGAGGCCGAGCAGCGGGGGAGAGCGCGGACCTGCTGAGCCGCGGGAAGCGGCCGCCAGCGATGCCCTCAGGCGGAGACGTTGTGAGCGGGGAGGCTCGACCCCCCCCCCCCCTCAGGAGCCGCCAAGCGCTCGCCGCCCCTCTTGACACCCGCCGAGCCTCCTCCCACCCCGAGCGCCTCTCCTCCTCCTCCTCCTCCTCGCCAGAAGCGCTCGCACGCCCAGCGGGGAAGGGAGAGGCCGGCGACTGGCTAGGCCCGCTTTAATGGAGACGCGTCTTCGCCAATCCGGCGCGGGACTGAGGTCCAGCTGGCGGCAGAGCAGCTGAATCGGGGGGTCTCTCCGCCCCGCGGTTGAACGAGATGGCGGCGGGAGGCGGGGGGGGGGGGGAGGAAATGAGGCTGCTCGAAGCCCGGGGTTTGTGGAAACGGGCCGAGCCGTCGCTTGCTTGAACGTGCTTGCGGCTTAAGCCAGGATTAGCTCGCCTCATTGGCACGCTGAGGCACCAACCAGGGTTTCCCAGCGACGAGAGAGACTCCGCTCCATGCGGGGCTTTCAAAGCGACGCGCGCGAGAGCCTCCCGGACGGCCGCGCTCTTCCTTTCCCAGCTTGAGTAACGTTACGCACAGCGCACAAAGGGAGCGAGAAACGGAATTACGAAAGGCGTCAAATGAGAACGCGTAACTAAAGAAGAGCCGGATCCTCCATGTATCTTCTCTACCGGCAGCGAAGGTCCTTGTTTTCAACGCGGCCCTATACGCCTCAGGCTTCAGTCCTTTTCATTTCTTCAGGATCTCATCGGTTCCATCTACTCCAGCCGGGTTGTCGTAGAGTACCTTTCCACCACCCTCTCAAATCACTTTAGATTTCAACATCATTCATTCATTCATTCATTCATCTCTGCAATCCAAACCCCTTCGGCGTTCTGGTCACTCGCTTTTGTATTCAGTCCACATTTATGCAGCACCCGTTCATTCCGGACTCGATTCTTTTTTCCTTTTTTTTACGTGCAAATTTTGGAGAATCCCCTTCCTACAATGTTAGTGAGGCGTGTTTCTCCTGAAATCACTCCCGTGTAACAAAGTGAGCAGAAGATTGCTCTTATACACACCCAGTTTATTTTAAGAAATGCTCCTCCTTCTTCATAACATAGTATGAGGGAGATGGTCTGTTTTAAAGATGGGAAAATAGGGAAGTATGCAGTTTAATGACAATTTCATTAACCTGCATATTTCCCCAGTTTCCCATCTTTAGTTAACATTATAAGAATAGTTTAGCATGAAGTGCAAATCCAAATCGCCCTCGCCTGGACATTGTAATGTGGGCAGGAGAGCCAAATCAGCTTGGACTTGGAGAGTGGGGGAACCTTTGGAAAAATAAAAATTTGGGCTTTTAATGATGGGTTGTTCATCCTTTTCAAATATATTCAACATGTCCAATTAAGATTACAATAGTGGTACTTGTATCTCAACTTGATTTAAGTTGTACTGACAAAGCTCTAAGTAAATCATGGTTTTTAGGGCATGTTGAGGCAGAAATAATCCTGGTTCAGGGAGATATGTCTTATTTGGTATACAAACCTTGTTCTTCACTAAAAAATGGAGTACCTTTCTCAAATATCTAAAATACTTGTTTTGGCTCACTTATTTTTATGAGAACCTTGAAAAGCAGACAAGTATTTTTATTTCTTTAATTTATATAGATGCCCATCTCATGAGAAGTGACACGGGGCTATGTATGATAATATTATATAGTCCCTCTTGCAAATAAATTGCTGAAGTTTTGTTTAACTAGTATTAAAAGTATTTAAGTACTTTTACAGCTATCAGATTTAGACTGCAAAAAAAGTCCAGGAGACTATTAAGTGGCATTAAAGATATACAAAATGCATTTGCTTGTCTAAATAGTTTTAACTGTGATCTTACAGCCTTTTTAATAAAGTATTGTCATAATATTGTTATTGTATAATATAATCAATCATCTTGAGTCAAAGCAATTACATGAGATGGTTGACATTACCTTATACCACCAGACCTAGAAATTCTAGACCTAGAAAACCTAAACTACGCCGCCTTTGGTCCGATCTAAGTATAGTATATAAAATTATACATTGCAATGTCCTATCTGTCAATTAATACCTCAGCTTCAGTCATAACAATACAAGAGCACACAATAGATACAAACTCAAGGTAAACTGCACCAAACTTGATTGCAGGAAATACGACTTCAGCAACAGAGTGGTCAGTGTCTGGAATACTCTACCTGACTCTGTGATTTTTCCCCCAAACCCCCAAAACTTTAACCTTAGATTGTCTACTATTGACCTCACCCCTTTCCTAAGAGGTCTGTAGAAGCTGTGCATGAGCGCACCAAAGTGCCTACCGTCCCTGTCCTATTGTTTCTTTTTATTTTTCTTATATGTATCCATTTCATGTATTCATAACTATGTTTATACTTCTACCTGTTATAATCACTTGACAAAATAAATAAATAAAAATAAACTATGCAAATAAAGAGGATTGTGTCTTTGCCTAAGACCTGCCAGGGATTGAATTCCTACATCACATTAAGTGATAATGAAGTTCATTAGTTTTTGATTTAGCATGTTGTGTGAATGCAATTACTGTGGCTTGTAAACCATGATTTAGCTAAGACTAAGCCAGAATTCTTTTTTATTATGCCACAATTAAATTGTGTGCAGTGTGAACATATTAATGGCTACATTTACATAAAACACAACTTCTACTTTAAACACATTTTTTTGAATCAACCGTAATGGTCTGGTTTGTACATGAAAGCACTGTAGGCCATACCTCTTGATGGCTGAGTGTGATGCTATCAGTTGAAATATGAACTGGAATCTTTTCACGCCTGTTTCTTTTAACTGTCTCAATTGTCACCAATGCGGCATTTTGAAATTGCACACTGAAGCACATATTGAAGCTATATTCATAAATTTAAGCCATGATTCAGTGAAAAAATCCCAGCCATTTGGACTTGTACATGCAGCTAAACTAAATCCATGGTTTAAATCTACAAGGCTAGGTTCATGCAACATAAGAACCAAACTCAACAATCCATATCATACATTAGTGTGCCGCGTAAAGGCAGCCTGCAAGTCATACTGCAAAATGAGTCATTTAAATGCAGCTATTCAGCATTTGGATTTTCGTTACTTCGCTGGTACAAATAGTCTCTGGTTTCTACTGCCTTGTAATGATCATAAGAAACCCTATAATGATCATAAACACTGCTGAAAATGACTAGTTTCAAAATAATTCTGCAGTCCAAAACATGTTTACTTGAAAATAATTCCAGTTGAATTCAACTGATATAAGCAATAGAAGATGTGGTTTAACTTATATGAAAGATGCTAATGGACAGCTACTTAAAGATACCTTTGATGTTCCTCACTGTGAATACCCGAAATTCCCACTTTGTTAGGCCCCCATTTATTGTTAGCTGACATATTCAATCCAGTCATTTCTTTCTACCAATATGTTGATGGGCGGGGCATGTAAGTGAAGCATGAAAAAATTATTAAATATAATGGACTAATGCAGTTTTTCTCTACCTGGGCAACTTTAAAATGTGTGAACTTTAACTCCCAGAATTCTGCAGTAATTCTGGGAGTTGAAGTTCACACATCTTCCAGTTGCTAAAGTTGAGAAATCTAATGGGTGGAGTTTTGACTGCTATTGCAACCACCATCTTGACTTTTTTTTAATGCTCCTACTCTCCACCTTTCCTCATGAATATGCTGCAAAGGACTGCATTGGGAATAAGTGCTGGACCTCTAGAAGTATTTTCAGGGTGCAAGACCCTTCTCCACAGACTTAATGAAGACAAAAATTAACATGTAAGAACCATATGCTCCACATGCGTATATGTGTTATTAAAGCATCAAGCATAAAAATGCCTTATGTTAACATTGGTGGATAAGAATTTCATGGATAACAAAACCCCATCTTGGGTGTTCCTTAAGATCTCTTGGCCCAAACAGTAGGGCGCAAAGTCACAACAACACAATACTGCTATAATACCAGTATACTGTTGTTACCAGTACTAATATTACTGTAATATACTACATTGCTAAATGTAGCATAGCACAGCTTTTACTGAATTCGTTTGGCACAGAATAACAGAGTTTGAAGGGACCTTGAAGACTTTCTAATCCAATCCCCTGCTTAGGCAGGGGAGCCTCTACCATTCTGGACAAATAGCTGTTCAATCTCTTCTTGAAAACCTCCAGTGATGGAGCACCCACAACTTCTGAAGGCAAGCCATTCATTCCATTGGTTTATTGTTATGTCAGGAAATTTCTCCTTAGGCTGCTTCTCTCCTTGATTAGTGTCCATTCACTGCTTCTTGCTCTGCCTACAGGGTGATTTGAAGAACAGAGTGGCCTTTTCTTCTTTGTGGCAGTCCCTCAGATATTGGAACACTGCTATCATGTCACCCCTAGTACTTCTTTTAATTAAACTAGACCTACCCAGTTCCTGCAGCTGTTCTTCATATGTTTTAGCCTTCAATCACCTACTTACCTTTGTTGCTCTTTTCTTTGCTCTTTCTAGAATTTCAACATCTTTTATATATCATGGCAACCAAAACTGGATGTAGTATTCCAAGAGTGGTCTTACCAAGGCATTATAAGTGGTAGTAATATTTCACATGATCTTGATTCTTTCCCTTTATTAATGCAGCCTGGGACTGCATTGGCTTTTTTTTTTTGGCAGATGCAGCATTCCTGGCTCGTATTTAAATGATTGTCTACCAGAATGCAAGATCCTTGCAAGTTTCCCTTGAGAATAGTTTGCAGGTTGCAGCTAGTGCTGTATGCTTGGTAGAGTCCTTTCCAGAAGACAGATATTCAAATGTTCCACTTTGGTTGCCTGTTCACTAATAGGGCTGAGCAGTACTTCAGATTTCAGTTGGAAAAAGTGCAGACGTATGAATGCAACAGCTATGTGTAACCCACTGAAGCTGCCATATTATTTTCCAGGAACACACAGCTCCTGCAGGAAATATGTTTTGCTGATAAGGTGCCAAACATTTCAGAAGAAATTATTT